AGTTTGGAGAAGTTGGTATAATTAAAAGTCTTGCTATTTATGTGAATCTAAACACAGATTCAAACATTGAACACAAACTAAATTATCATATGTTTGATAGAATTGAATCATGGATTTAAACTAAATTCAGGCAATAAATGCTTAAATTTATGCCTATTACATTACCACTTGGCCCAAAAGCTTAAGTTAACTTGTAAAGGTCCAACAATAGTATTATGGAATCTAATTTTCCTGAATTTTTGTGTTAATCAGAATGGTATTGTTTCCTGATTCTTGAACATGTGTTACTGAATTAATACATACAGATTGTTATAAGCCTACCCTTGGATATCAAGATTGTCATGGAAAATATCTTGTTATATGAAACAAAAAATTAAGTTGGTTTCCATCTTACATATATTGTGTTTAACAGGAAAGGCCAAGCAAGTTTTCGTCGGGTTATGGTTCTCCAGTAAGTATTCATGACCTCTCATCAATCTAATCTAGTATCTAATGATTTTAGTTAAAGTTCTGATCTTTGAAAATGCTTTCAGATTAGGGAGGAGCCTCCACCATACACATCACCTGCCATGCAAAGGTACGAGTCATTTGAGAACCCGTTAGCTGGTGGATTGCAGAGTTTTGGGTCTCAAGATGATGGGCGATTATCATCTGGGAATCAGCAGTTTGGGACAGCACTTTATGACTTCACTGCTGGTGGAGATGATGAGGTAGGTTCCCTCTTTTTTTGCCCTTAGAAGTTAGAGGGGCAGCTTCAATGTTTGAGAAATATTTTACTGTCCAAAGTTTCAGCATTTATACTTGTTTGTTGCTAGTGCCTCTAGTCTAGGGGTTAATATCTGATATATGCATATGTATTGTATCCTAAGGTCAAATGTGGAGTCTACTGGATGAAGATGTTTCAGCATTTTACACAATTGGTTATTATAGCCTTTTTTTCGTACAATGCATTTCTTGTGTTGATGTATAGAAGTCTATACATTGCTTGGTTTAGGGGCAAATGTTTATGGGATTAACTAATCGTTTTTCTTCCTTGCAGTTAAATTTGACGGCAGGAGAAGAGGTCGAAATTGAGTATGAAGTTGATGGATGGTTTTATGTAAGTCAACAGAATAAGAACATTCAACTTTGAGAAAAGAAATCGGTTCTTTGTAGCTCATCTGTTTTCTGCTATCTGGGTAGAAAGAAATTTAACAATAGTTTATCTTATTAGACCACATCATTGATGCATTTGAATGCCAGATTTTTGTTTTTGGTTCTTTTCTTCTCTGTTTCAGCAAGCTAAATTTGTCAACTGACCAAACTAAGCTCATATGTGAGAGAAGAGCAAAAATCATATTTGTATCAAATCATGGAACCGGCTAACGTGCTATCATTCTATTTGCAGGTGAAGAAGAAACGCCCTGGAAGGGATGGCAAAATGGCTGGGCTAGTACCTGTCCTCTATGTCAATCAATCTTGAAGTGTCATGCCATGATACACCAAACGTTCATCTTTTTGGTCTGTTTTCTGAGCCATTTATTGCCTGAAAATTTTGTGGGAGCTTTCTTATATTCTTTTTGTGTCATCATTATTGAAGATATTGCTTGCTAGGAGATACGGTCTGCTGGAGCTCTGTGCCTAGAGTTTTTTGTTCGTTATGTTTCTCATTCTTAATATTCAAGCTGCGGAGATCATGTAGGAGATCAGCGTGTCAATATTCTGTTGTTTGTATCATTTTTACCATGTAAATGTTATAATTAATATTTATAGAAGTTTAGATGTAGTGACTGTAACAGGAGTGAATCAGTATAGTAATATTATCTAATTATTGACTTATTTGACAAAATGGATGGTATGAGCTTACTCCAAGTCGGGGGAAATGAGTGAGCGCTTAACCCTGAGATGCTTTTCTCGACTCTCTAGGACTAGGACTGCCAGAGTTATCAAACAACAATTTGGGAGTTTCTATTATTCTCTAGAATTTGAGTTGACAAACTTGATAAGTTTACAATTGGATGGAATGATCCCTAGAAACCAGGTTTAATAGTATCTCATTAGTTTTGTTCCTCCAATGCTTGTGAAATTGAGAAGAGAAAATCACTTATACCACCTTATTTTAAGACTGAAATTAAGAAATAAACCACTTTCAAATTGATTTGTAGGCTAGACTTTTCCTAATGTTTTAGACAATTTTGCCCTTAAGAAGGAACCCTATTACTTACATTGGTCTCTTCTCGTCTCAGCTCCGTTTCTCTCCAAAACCTACTCCATCTCACTTTTAATTTAACCAACCTTTGGCACCCTAAGTACAAATACATTGCCGAACTCGAAATTTGACACACAGAAAATATGTTTTCATCAAGTATAGAGGTAATTTTTCAGATATATATATAGATTTATGTTGTTTCTTTTTCTATTTATAAATATTTCTTCATATGGGTTTAATGTATGTAAAATAATTCATATTCCCAAAAAATCGAGCTTAGTTTACTTGAAATGGAGATCAATTCAAAATTGATTCCCAAAAAATTTGAACTCGAGTGGCTCCGATCAATGTTTTAAAACCCGGCCCGGTCGGTTGAACCCGTTCGATCAGGAACTGGCCACTGAGTCTAGCCGAGCTGACCTTAAACTCGGCGGTGTGAATTCACCCGGTGTGACCCATGATTGGATCGGGGTCATTATAGCAACCTGCTGGTCCAACTGGTTTTGGGGGAAAACTTGGTGAATCCTAATTTCAAATCGCGGTGACTTTTGGTAGCATTCGACTGTCAAACAAGAATCAGGGTTAGGGGGTTTTGAAGGGTGGATCATGGTGAGTCGGGAGGTGTTGTCCGATTAAGTTTTAGCCATCGGAGTCATTGGAATTTGGTTAAAAAATGGTGAAACCTTAGATTTTGATTGCCGACAATTGGTGGGTGGAATGGCTTGGAAACTTTGGGGGTTTTGTAGGGGAGTAGACGGTGAGTCTAAGGGTGGTAGTGGTTGGAGTTGTCGTCGCTCAAAACGGTTGGAATCTAGCAAAGGACAGCCGATCAATGCAGTTGTCATGGTTGGCGATCGGCGAGTGATGAGAGGAGATAAAATGTATGGTTTTGAAGAGGAGAGGATGGGGGTTATAGTGGTGGTGACGAGGGTGATTTTGGGTTAGAAAACAACCGAAAAAAAGGGAAAAAAGGCCAGTATCGGTGCATGCTAACGTGCGCCTGAAATAGCAACAAAGCTAATGTGCGTAAAAAAAAAAAAAATTTTGAATTTTTTTTATGTTGACATCACTGGTTTGACTCGTCGATCAAACTAGTCAACCCAAGATCCGACCACTTTGCTGGGTTTAGCCCTAGATTGGTTTTTAAAGCATTGGCTCTGATGACCTGACTCAAGCTAGCTTGAGTGAGGTTACATAAGTTGTTGCAGTTTAGTCACTCGAGCTACTTAAGTCCAAATTGTTAGATTTCTGTTTCCAAATTATTAATTGGTTTTATTTTAGAAAAATTGTAAAATAGCTAATAATTAAGTATGTTTGATAAAATTACTTGCAAATATACATTTTGTATTCAATTAGGTATAATGACGTCTTTTTTTGTATTACGAACTTCTTGTATTCAACATTGTTTTAAAAGCTGGATCGGATCGGCCGGTCCAATTAGTTGGACCGTGAACCGGTCATGTGTCCGGTTCGAGTCAACCCTAAACCCGCTATTAAGCAATAGACCGCTTTTACCCATAATGGACCGCGTGAACAGTTCTGGACTGCCGGTCCAACCGGACCGCAAGGAAAACCGGTCCAACTGAAAAATTAAAAAAACCCTAATTTCTCCCTTTCTCCTTTTGCGCTGCGCAGTTTCTTCTTCCTCAGTTCCTCTACGCGCAAAAACTCTGAAATTTTTTGAATGAAATCGCGAAAATCTGAAAAAGATCACAAATCAAAACTCAATCTTGTTGAAATCGCAGCCATCCCTTGCTGAAATCGCAACCATTTGTTGCTGAAATCGATCGTAACTCTAGTCTTTGAAATCACGACGACGCGTTCCTCCCTCGCCGGAAATCGACGACGCGTTGCTCCCTCGCCGGAAATCGACGCATGAAGGATGATTGGCATGCATGTCTTGACAATCCAATTTGATTCAAGGTGAGTTGTAATCTTCGAGANTCATCTTTCATTCTGTTGAGTTACCATGCATGGGTAAGCTGTTTGAAATATTCTTCATATAAATGATCCTTGCAATCCCCTCTTTGACATAATCCTCTCTATCTTATATTATATTTGGCATTTTGATTAATGAGCAAGCCTGAATATGCTTTAACAGCCATTTTCATGTGTTGTGCAGCTCCAAGAGCAATGGAGAAATCCAAGAACAGGGAGTAGCAAGTGGCGAGGGAAGAGGGACTGCTTTCCTGGTAAAGCCGTAAAATTTGTGAAAAATTCCAGGAGTGAGGAGGAAAGTAGTAAGGATAGAATGGGTTTTTGAGGTGGTGTATGTTTTCTTGGCATGAAGTTGGTATTTACCTAATGTTTGCCGCAAATTTTCTGATTATGATGATTGTTTTGTTGGTGAAAGATAATTAGTTGTGGAGTTTATATATCTCTATAGGAAAACCTCTGAATTGTTTTAAGTGGTTAATGTATTTGATGAATGTTTGTTTTAACTATTCTGAATGATGGATCACTAAGTTTCCTTGCTTTCTCTCTCCTTCCCACTTTCGTTTTATTTGACCAGTGATATTTATAATTTATTGGACAGCCTAAATTTTTAGTTTTCTTTTCTCAGCCGGATTGTAATTTGACTGAAACGGGAGGATCTACGGAGCAGCTTTTCTTTTTTTGTTTATTTTCCGTCTTAGCCCTTTTCCTTGCTGACCCGCCTTAATTACTCTGTAGCCTCGAAAGACGGAAGCCCTCAAAAATTGACTGAATCACATCTGTATTAACACCGATTGCATATCTGTCTTCACAATTGTCCTTTGTTGTAAAATTATCTATAACTGAAATATTCTTTTCTTATTTATTATTTTATCTATTTTACTTGGGAAGACCTGACCGATTGGACCATTCAAAGAAAAATAGAATGGGCGCCTAGATACGAGGAGAAACAAATTTGGAAAAGCTGAAAAGAGTACCAACCAAATAAAAGATTTGGCGAGCAAGAGAAACTAATGGAATATCATAAAGAAAGAAGATTAAATCTCTGGTGAAGGAAATTAAATGAGGAATCACTGTTTTAAAAGCCAAGCGCATCGGTCGGCCGGTCCAACCGGTTGGACAGTGAAACCGGTCACGTGTTTGGCTCGAGTCAACCCTAAACCCGTTGTTATGCAATAAACTGCTTTAACCTGTAATGGATCGCGTGAACAGTGTTGGACTGCCAGTCCAATTGGATTGCAAGAAAAACCGGTCCAACTGAAAAATTAAAAAAACCCTATTTTCTCCCTTTGCGCTGTGCAGTTTCTTCTTCCTCAATTCCTCTACGTGCAAAAAACTCTGAATTTTTTTGAATGAAATCGCAAAAATCTGAAAAAGATCACAAATCAAAACTCAGTCTTGCTGAAATCGCAACCATCCCTTGCTGAAATCACAACCATTCGTAGCTGAAATCGATCACAACTCCAGTCTCTGAAATCGCGACGACGCGTACCTCCCTCGTCGGAAATCGACGACGCGTTCCTCCCTTGCCGGAAATCGACGCATGACGGCTAATTGACATGCATGTCTTGACAATCCGATTTGATTCAAGGTGAGTTGTAATCTTCGGGACCTTTGCTGTGAAATCTGAAATGTTTCATTGTTCATAGAGATTTCAAACCTAATAACATCCTCCTCACCCATGACTTTAGACCAAAGGTCAATTCCATATTTTCTCTTTAATTTTGATTAATTGAAAATTTCCAAGAAATACATTGAATACATATACCAACATTGATTATTATGTATCATCACTCTCAGAAACAGGTGGGAAATTTCGGTTTGGTAAGGTTCCTGGCAGATGGACAGTTGGTAGAAGAGGCACATTTGGGTATGACAATTCCCTCAGTCTTTCTGATATAGCTCTAGGGCCTATTTAATTTGAGATATGATACAATTCTTTGGTTTTTTAACATAAATGAAGAAATAGATCTTAAGCAAAACATTTTTGGTTGAGAATTTTCAGCAATCATTTACTTGATGATTTAGTTCCAGAATATACCGATTTTGAACTCATAATAGAGAAAGCTGATGTATATGCCTTCGAAATCAGTTTGTTGGAGCTGTTTTTGAATAATACATGATTTATGGTCATCATGCCGACATTGTCGAATTAATTTATTTCAATACGGATGATGCAGGGGCAACCATTACATTGAATTGTTCCTGTATGGTTAAGGATTTGGGTTCGTATGTAGTAACTAATCAATAATTTAGAGAATGTTGTTTCATCAACTTATGTGTATGTAATTGGTTTTACAATTTTTATAACTAAAGCGTCATTGGTATTTAGATTATGCAAATGCAACAAAGAGGAGAGGTGGAGATTGGAGAGTAAAGAACAACTCTTGTAGTAGCATGTGAACCCTATATAAATGTAAAACATATTCTAGGTGCGATGTAACTATGAAATTAGTTGTTAATTACTCAACTTACTGGAAGAGGAATTCGAAATGTTAGGTTGGCATATAACAGTATGATTTATAAAACTCTTTTAAGTGTTAGCTTTTTAGAAATGGTTAGGCTATAAAAGTTCATTATTGACGTTTTGTTGCTTTCATTTATCTCTTCTGTTCAGGCTTGAATTCAAGATTCAATATTTCCTTTAAAGTGTATTAGTTTTTGCATTTATCTGAAAAAAAAAAGTTTTTTT